TAGAGCTGGATGAACACAGCAGGCCAAGCAGCAGAGGAGCAGGAAGGCTGACGTTTCGAGCCTAGACCATTTCTGAAGAAGGGTCTAGGCCCGAAACGTCAGCCTTCCTGCTTCTCTGATGCTGCTTGGCCTGCTGTGTTCATCCAGTTCTACACCTTGTTATCTCGGATTCTCCAGCATCTGCAGTTCCTACTATCTCTGACCCAGGTTATAGTCCAACAGGTTTGTTTGAAAACACAAGCTTTCAGAGCTTTGCTCCTTCTTCTTGAAAGGAATTCAGGAATTTACATATACATATTAATCAATTAAAACATTCCCACTGATTAAAGATTTAACAGCATCTTAGGTTCACTTAATACATCCTCATCAGTGGTGTGACGCTTTGGTATCTTATAAATTGTGTCTGATTCCACCTCTCTCACTAACATATGAAGAAGGAGCAAAGCTCCGAGAGTTTGTGTTTTCAATTAAACCCGTTGGACTATAACCTGGTGTCGTGTGATTTCTGACCTTGTCAATCTGTTGATGTGAAGAATACTGATGCCTAGGAGGTTGTCACCTTTCATGGGAACTATTTAACCCCATGAATATTCAGTCCTGTCAAGGTGCCTCCTTTCTGCAACACAAAATAAAGGCTTTCTCTTTGTGAATACTGCACCTACCACTTGATAAAAAGGAGCATTGTGATCTTATCAATTTAAAAGGTGGTCTCAGCAATAGGATGAATATGGTAGCTTGAAAGTTTCATTTTACGGGAAACTTCACTATGACCTTTAACCCTGTCTTGATCTGTTTGCAGCTCAGACTACAGCTCATGACATAAATTTTATAGCCTCTCATGTGAAGTAGATTAACGTACGACATGTTCAAGTAAGGTTGATGTGGTATCTGTAGCTTCAAACCTGAAGTAACAATAGGTGCAGGTAAAACACCTTGATTTCACCCTGCATTTATTGGTCTCTAATTAATTTGTCTTACTCATCTAGAATTCATGTTTTATAACTCCAAAGGAGATTTTATTCTGTCCACTTCATTTGCTGAACAATAAATTGCAGCAGCAAGCAATAACAGAATTATTGCAAAATGGCACAACACTAAAAACTAATGCATGTAGAAAAGCAAAACCAGACATTGTTAATGAAAATAAATCCATAAATTTGTAAATGAAGTTCTCTAATAGTAATGTTAATTCAAGCAACCAACTTAATAAAGTCAGAATCAAGTCTTATGCCCATTTGGTATGGGTGATTTTAACAGAGTTGGAGCCTTGCAGTAACATAGGAAATCCAGCAAGAAAGCATTACCATAGTTACTGTTACAATAATAAGGTTTGTACTTAATTACAATGGGATCTTTGGACTGCTCCCAAATTACTGAGAGAAATTAAATGCACTACACCTTGTGTCCTAATTTATGACTTTTCAAACTCATATAGACTCTACATTGGAAGAGACTTCAAAACTGGTCCACAATGAACCTTACAAGTTGTAATGCATCATCAATGAGTTACATTTAAAACTCAAAAGACTAATTGTCTTAATGAGTGTGACATTTAGCTGCTCTGATGGTCCCCAATACAATTGTATTTTGATAAGGCATTATATAAATTAACTGTGGATTTGGGTTGACAAGTGAAAATGTTGCTGAATAAATTAAAGAAAAGCACAGTATCTTCTCAACTACCAAGTTGGAAGAAAATTTATTTTTACATGGAGTCAATTAATGAAAAGTCTTTGCCGCAGAGTACTGTAGTCATTCTTTGAATAATAGCACATGGTCAAAATGTTTAAAAAAAAACAAGACTATACATTTTACAAAGTTAACATTTGGGCAAAATAAACGAATATTGCGCCGTCTAATGTAGTATAAACGGATAACAGACCCCATACCTTACAACGTGTAACGTTGCCTTTATCAGAATCTCCGTGTGTAGCCTCATTTGCAACAGAATAATTCTATTGATTTAACAGGATAAGACTACATAGCTTTTATAAACGAACCCATTTCCATAAATTTAATTTGGGATTTGAATATCTGCATTGTGAATTCCACTGATCCTGGCACCGGTTTTGCATTTTGTTACGAGAATTGGAACCTGATACAGGTGAGCCCTGAATTGCAGTTCACCAATTTAACAGATTAACTGCACTTGTACTCTCAGACTATAACCCCACGTTTTTCTTACAGAAAACTCGAAACAACTAACATCACATCCGAGATAGTAGGACCTGCAGATGCTGCAAAATCTGAGATAACAAGGTGTAGAGCTGGATGAACACAGCAGACCGAGCAGGAAGACTCAACATCTATGATTCTGCTCGGCCTGCTGTGTTCATCCAGCTCTACACCTTGTTATCTAAGATCACATCCGTTCGGATTCATTTTCCCGCCGAGGTGAAGGGCCAACAGGAAGTGATGTGTGGCGGGGGTAAATAAAAGGCGGGAATAGGAGTAGGTTTCTTTGCGCTGCCATTTTTTTAAACAGGGCGGGTTTGGAAACCCGGGAAATACTCCAAGTGATTTATTACTTCAGTAATTATCCGTATCGTTCAGTCTGTTCTGCAGGATCAAATCCTTTGTACGTAGGCAGGAAGCAAAGCCCGAGACCCGAATTTGCAATGGCGGATCAGGAACCGAGCGCCTCCACATCCAGTGTGGCAGGCAGTGCCGAGGGGTGAGTGCTGCTGCTGGTGAGGGGGGATGTAGCCCGGCACTCGGCCCGCTCCGCGTCTGCGCCCGCTGTCACCGCGTTCCATTTGTCCTGTTACTACAATCGGGATGGAACCTGAGCCCGGAGCGCGAGCGGAGATTCCCACCCCCCACCCCGGAGGAGCTGCAAACACATCGCAGTCCAATGCACAATCCCTCCGTGACATCGCACCCTTTCGGATGGCGATCTTTAAGACTATTTCGTGTGTGTATACATACAGCGTATATTGCGTGCAAGGACTAGCAAGAGCCCCATCCCGTTCGCTTTCCTTTTTTTTGCTTGTAACTCCCCTCTGCTCCAACGTGGTAACCCGGGTGTTTCAGAGCAGCCTGTATTTCAGCGGAACGAGCATGTTGGATTAGTGTTTGAATAGTCAGTGCTTGATATCGCTGTTAGTATTCCGTTATAAGAACGATTCGAAACTTTGGGGCATCTCCAGAAAGTTTTGCTGCTTCACCAAATAAATAATAGGTTCGCGAAGTTGGTTCCACCTATCAGAATTCACGCTTCTGGGACACACACTCCCTGCCGTTGTAATGCCCTATTATGTCTACAATTACTACTTGGATAAATTTGGAAGCGCACATCTTGTATAAAGAGACTACACCTATATCCGAATTTCCTTTTTGCTTTTTTAAAAAAAAGGTCCGTTATCTGTAGTTGAATGATACTGACAATGCTGCATTTATTGACTGGTTTCCGAGAGAAAGTAGTGATGAGTGACCTTGAGCTGTGGTGGACCATGTCACGATGGTCTCTCAATAAGTCTGAGTCGACAATCTTGTATGAATGATCACAGTTCTTAGAATGACTTTGACTTTGCTTACATCTGTACACAGTGATCTGGAAATGGTGTTTCCACAACACTCATGTTGTAGTCATTGGACGTAGTGTACTTTGAAGCAACTTAAGTCTTTGCATTTGTGGGTTTCTTTAACGTGTACTCTGGAATGCTGCGTACCGTAAAGAAACTAGGAGCAGGAGTAGCTGTGCCCGCTCTGCTATTCAATATGATCATGACTAGTTCTCTATTTCAATGCCATTCCTTTTTCCCTATACTTGTTGATGTCTTCAGTATCTAAAAATGTTTTGTTTTTATATTCTCAATCACTTTACCTCCACAACAGTCTGTGATAGAGAATTTCACAGGTTTACCACCCTTTGACATTTGTAAGAAAGTTATTTCTGTTCCAGGTGGTGTCTTAGCTTGAGATTTAGAGAGTTCAATCTCCTGAGACTGATTGCTGCCAGATGTTACAATAGATGGAAGTCAGTGAGGGAAAACCTGAATAACCAGCTATTGTGGATCCATCAGTTTATGGCATTGTTGGTAGGAGTGACTGTGGTCACAGTTGAGCACGCTGTTGACACATAAATTGACACATGTAGCCAGTACAGAATGTATTTAACTATAATTTAAACTCTGGGTATATTCCTCACCATGCCATTACTGTCAAATCAGAGCACCTAATCTACGTCAGAGATGTTTAGAAAGAACACCTGTCAGGAACAGAAAATAAGGTACTAAACCAGTAAGCCTACAGCCCAGGACTATGTTTAACAACAGGGGGAACTTTGAAGCTCTATAGTCCTGTGAGAACCAGTCATGAATGATAGTGGATTATTTAAATAATTGGCGTGGGGGAGCCTACACAATTATCCCCTCCCCCTACCGCATCCCAAAACCAGCCCAGCTTGTCCCCGCCTCCCTAACCTGTCCTTCCTCCCACCTCAAGCCCCACCCCCATCTCCTACCTACTAACTTCATCCCGCCCCCTGGACTGACCTATCTCCTCCCTAACTCCCCACCTACACTCACCTTTACTGGGTCCATCCCTGCCTCCGGTCTGTCTTCTCTCCACCTATCTTCTCCTCTATCCATCTTCTATCTGCCTCCCCCTCTCTCCCTATTTATTTCAGAACCCCCTTCCCCTCCCCCATTTCTGAAGAAGGGTCTAGGCCCGAAACGTCAGTCTTCCTGCTCCTCTGATGGCTGACCTTAGCGCATCTTTACAACAGATTCAAGATTTTGGCATTTGTAACCATCTTCAGCCAGAGATGCTGAGTGAATGAGCCATCTCTGCTTCTTTCTGAGGTCCCAATATTACAAATGCCAATCTTCAGCCAATTTGATTCACTGTACATGATACTGTATCTAGAAATAGCTGAGTGCACTGGCTGTATTTGTGCTGTATTATTAAAGACCTATACTCCAAAAGTTCCCCTACCCAATTGTTCCAGTACAGTTACAAAACTGACATCCATCTGACAATGAGAAATTGTCCAGCTATGTTCCAACCATAAAAGCTGGACAAATGCAAACCGGCCAATTATACTCCAGTCTATTGTCTGTCATTATCAAAGTGATGGCAGGTGTGTTGATCATCACTATTCAAAAGGGTACCTACATGATGATCTGTTGTGCAGGCTTGAGTGATCGACTTTACACTACCAAGTACAAAGGAAAATAGCTTTGGTTGTTGAAGACCAACTATAGCCCCAGGATGTCACTTCCCACTTGCCCCAATGAGATCAAAAGTGCTTGCACAATGCTGATTTCCATTTGAAATTACCGAAGATACTGAAACTACTGATATTTGCATGCAGCAAGACTAGGATAATGCTTGGGTATGAGCCGTTAGGCAGCAGTAAAATTTGTTCCATACAAGTACCAAGCAAATGACATTGTCAACAATGACAGATTCAGCAATGGCTTTCTGTGGGTTACCATTGACCAGAAATTTAGCTCAACTGCCTCTCCTAAATCCTGTTAGTGGAGTTTTTAGTAAATGATATCTCCAGTTGCTGTCAACAATGCATCCTGGGTGTTTTATTTTCATTGATGAATTAATGGCTGTATCCAAAACTCATCCCTTGCATTCAGCCAAGATAAGCCAGTGTACAATACACTAATAGACTTGGAGCTGCATCCTCCAAATCCAGCAATTGCACACCGATGGGTTTTCATTTGGGCACTTCTGCTGGATACTAAGATTTTAAATAAGTCTTTAACAACTAATTACTGGTATATATGTTGTGGCTCAGTGGTCAGCACTGCTGCCTCATTGTGCCAGGGACCTGGGTTAAATTCCAGCCTCAGGTAACTGCCTGTGTGGAGGTTGCCGATTCTCCCCACGTCTGCGTGGGTTTCCTCCGGGTGTTCTGGTTTCCTCCCACAGCCCAGAGATGTGCAAGTTAGGTGGATTAGCTGTGGGAAATGCAGGGTTACAGGGATTGTGTGTGTCTGTGTGTATGTGTCTGTGTAATCCTGGGTGGGATGCTGTTTGGTGGGTTGGTGTGGACCTGTTAGGCTGAATGGCCTCCTTCCACACTGTAGGGGTTCTATTCTAATCTGTTCTGTTTAGCTGAGGTTGTACCTTGCAGTTGCATGACCAAGCTAATGTTTATAAATTTAAAGTACTGTATGCTGTCTGCTTTTCCTTCCTGGGATGAGGAGATTGGCCTTTGAGGAAAGGTTGAGTAGACTATGTCTATATTTCTCAAGTTTTAGAAAAAATGGTTGATCTCTTTTTTTAAATATTATAAAATTCTTAAGGGACTTGGTGTGTTAGATGCTGAGGGAAAAGGACCCACTCTCCACTGGCCCAACTGGAGAATCTAGAACATGAAATCACCCTCTGACAAAGAGGTCAGCCATTTATGACTGAATTAAGATTTTCTTCAGTTCAGTCCAGTCCAACGCAGATAGCTCTGGATTCACAGCAGTTGAGTATTTAAAATGGGATTTGATAGAAACAACAAAATGTGAAGTGCAATTAGTGCAGGAGGATGGATTTGGGGTAGAAGATCCCCAGTGATCTTGAATTGTTGCTGAGTTGCCATAGTCTTTCTGGACCATAGGGCTGAGCTCTTATGAGAAAGAGAATGTGAACTGGTGATGATTTAACCTGAGGGTGGTCACACCTCAGACAAGGGGAGAGGTTGAGAAGGAGAGTCCTTCATGGTAACCTCAACCAGTGATGGGAATTGAACCCATGCTGTTAGCATTACACTGCTTCGCAAACCAACCAACCAACCAACCAATTGAGCTAAACCCTCTTGAATAGCAAGGCAGTCTCAAACCTCCAAAATGGCTCCCTCCAGCTTCTCCTCTTATATAAAAGTGTGACTACTACTCTGTTAGACTAAGTTTTGAAGGGAGGAATCACTGATGTTTTCTTGCCATTTAAAATTATAACATTGAAATCGTTGAGCTGCATTAACACTTTATTTTAGTGGTAGCTTAAAAAGTAGCTAGCCTGAAAATGGTCCTAGTTCTGCACCATCATTATGAAATATGTTGGTATTAGATCTAAAATAACACCACCTGGGTGTTCTACAATTACTTCACTGTGCTGTGAAGTTTGTAGTCTGAAGAACTTCAAATTTTAAATGCTAAAGCAAAGTTTATTTCTTTTGCTCACTGACCGAAAACTGACATTTGGTTCATTGAATTGCTAGTTTTGCATGATGAACAATATTTGTAGCAGTAAAGGAGGGAAAAGGAAGTCTTCTGGAAAGAGGTAATATTGCTTCAACAAATCTTGAGTCATTGCCCAAGTATTCCACCACCTAATTTCTAGGTGTCTGGCTGCTGATTACCCAATGGAACAGGAGTTTAAGATGTTGGAAGGGATCCATTATACCTGAACTGAGGCCTGGGGGTGGCGGGTGCTAGATTTAGTATTTTTAGTATAGTTTGGATGTTGGCTAGGTTTAGCATTTTCCCATTGTTTTTAGGTAAAATTGTATTTGTTTGAGAACTGGTATTTGATTTGACGTCCTGTTGGATTATGCCCTTGCCCCCCAGATCAAATGCAGAACATTAGAACAGGAATCGGTCATTCAGCTTCTCCAGCCTGCTCCACCATTCAGTTAGATCATGGCTTAACAACACTTTCTTGCACTATCCTCATAACTGTTGCTGTCATTCCTTTTCACAAATCATGGGGACTGTACCCAATTTTACCTTAATTTTCTGTACGTCCTTTATAATGATTCTAACATTTTCTATGCCACTGACATCAAACGAACAGGTCTATAATTCTCCATTCTCTCTCCTTTCTCGAATAGTTGTATTACATTAGTTACTTTCCATTCTGTAGGAACCTTTTTAAGAATCTGTAGAATTTTGAAAGTGGATGCATTGATCCATCTCCACAACTGCCTCCTTCATTCCCTCAGCAAACTCCCGTCTAGCCTGATCTATTGTCTAGCCTGATCTATTGTCTAGCCTGATCTATTGTCTAGCC